ACCGGTCTTTGAAGGCCTAGCAGCAGCATTCATGGTGATATTCGGAATCAGCATCGTCGACTACCTATAGTCCACTCGGTTTCGTTGAAAAAGCGATTTATCAGTTGGGGTACTTCCCTCGTGAGTGTTTTGTTAACGATCAAGGTAGTGGTTTATAATTGGAGAGAGATAATCTTGTCTACTGGTACGAAAGTTAAGATTACTACAGCTGAATTGCTTGATAAATGCATAATCAATATCCTCTCTTTTGAAACAGAAAATAACTGCAGCATAACATTTCATGTTATTCTTACAGTTTGCATTGTCTATAGAAACACAGTAACTAGTTTTTCCACCTGTACATTGGTATGTAAGTGAATGAAAATGCTCTAGTCCTCTTCGAAAACGACAGAAGATATCATTTCTAGACAGTTGAATATTAAAATGATGTTGAAAAATGGAAGTGAACTTGGATAATTCATTTCTATCTAATCAAAAATAAAACAAATTTATGTCAAAAACCTTTTGTTTGGAAGTGGAAATAGAAAAGCGTGAAGCGTTCTATGCAAATGGCTGCGAGCTAGTGTTTGCTCCTAACCGATGAGCCCGCTTTAGTATTTCAGCTATTAAAAATTTCGAAGTCCCAAATTTTGGGCGCCCTACTTTACAACCGATTTACCCAAAAACTAAAAAAAAACTGATTTCATATTAGAACTCTGCAAAATGTCGTTTTTCTGAATTTCTACTAATTTGAGTTCAGAATATTAATCAGAAAATCATTGGGGAGTTGGGGAAGCACAAACAATCTGCGACTTTCATATGAAAACCAATAAGCCGGCTGTAGTCATTTCACGTTCTCTTCCTCGGTCGGCTTAAGAAGCTCGAAAGTTTCCTTTTTCTCTAGCTATCACGCTCATTTTCCAAGTTTTTTAGAAATTAAGTTATGCAGCACTAGCAAGTAAGTTTTAAAATTTTTTTTATAAACTTTAGCTCATGCTTATTGCACCAGCTTTCGGTTCGACATCAAAACGGTGCTCAGTTGTGTCGCTAAAGGTAAAGCAGGACTAGTTCCGCTCTTCGATGCGACTCTTTTTCCATTAAGGTAACGTGTGAAGTATGTGGATCATCGCAATCCACGCTCGGACTACCGTCTGGCTTCCGTAGAAATGACGCTAATTTCTTCTCGTTATCCCAGTGGGACACTCTGTGCATGAGGTGAGCTTATTAAGGTCCTCACGAAGGAGGCGTCCCTCTATCCTCGATTCGCGCAACAGAGTCGAGAGAACCTTGCTATCAAACGGCAGACGCAAACTTCACCACGGATTTTACGCCGAGGTTAGCCACAGAGAAAACTTCTATCTAGCCTTTTCTTTTACACAGCTAACAACCTTTTACGCATTTCGATGTGTGAAAGCTGAATAAAATAAAAAAAGAGCTTAAATCAGTGCAGAAAGGATGAGAAAACGAGACAAAGATCTCTTAGAGCGAAAGTTTTAGTGCTGTGCTACATAACTTTGATTTTTAAAAAAATGATACAAAAAATAACGTAGCAAAAATGGAAACTTTCAGCTTTACTGATGATAAACTTTTTCCAGAAAAGTGGGATTTGCTGACATCCGCAAGCGTGCACTGAGCGAAATTTATTTTGAAAGTTGTCTCTACCGGGTAAAAGCCCTATAAAAAGGGCGACAACTGGAAACAAAAAAAATAGAATGAGAGAATGTATCCTTGGGAAAAATGAAAATGAACAGTTAATAATTATTTTTAATTATTATTTTACTCTAGTTTTGTTATTTCGCTTGGCAAGCGCAAGAAAATATAAAGTATCCAATAGTTTCACTAATGCTCAAGTGCCTACGTGGTTCCAATTTTGCGGACAAACTTCTTCTAAACATAATACGTGCAGAGATGAGCTTTTTTGTCTGCAACTTGTTCGCTCGAACACTTCCATAGACAAGAAACTTTTTCGAAAATTATGAACGTACAGAGACAGAATGATAATTACTTCGTTTTCCCCACTAAATTGAAACACTTTCTGCCAAATTTCACTTCCCTACAGGAATTTCAAGAATTATCACGAGAATTCTAGTCTCTTCACACCATCTCGAACCAATTCTTGAAGAACACAACAAATCATTAACCTTGTACCCAAGCAACTTTGCTTATCTATGATGAACCGAAATTATTTAAAATTTTCTGTAGACTTTTCTGTACTAAAATATACCTGCCTAGCAGTTAATGATTATACACTTGGTAAATAAATGATAAATTATTAGAATCAGTTTTATTTCTCAAACAATGAATATGATTTAGTATAACCCAACAATAAAGAGATGCACAGGAACTAAATGAAAATATCTATATTTTAATATCTATATATAAATAACTATATATACTACGATAAAACACGAGAAACTGTTAAATAGAGAAACAAAGATAGAAATACGCAGCTCTATCTAAACAAGAGAAACCGTTAAGTAGAAAATTCTGAGGTCATCAAGTAATATTTATATAGTTTTATTTTCTCACGAGAACTTCAGTGTAAACAGGTTCCTTTTGGCTTTTTCGTGAGCGGAGTGAACTACCGCGAAATTCTTTCTGTCCATCGTGAAAAAACAAAGTAAACTTCTAAAACACAGCCGAACTCTTAGTTTTCTTTCCGCTTGGTTCGCTTGCCATCAAAAACAGTATAAAACAATCGAGAAACACTTTCTACGTAATAGGCGTACGTTTCACAATCATTCGCATTTTAAGAAACAAGATGATAATTATCTCTGACGTGATCTTCTTCGTTCTCTCTTTCCCACATTTCTCTTTCTCGCACTGATCGTAAACAACAACAAGCAAGTCTGTTAATAGCTCTTCAAGCTAACGAACTATAAGGCCAGGGTGTAACCATTGGAGATCCATAAGCATTAATCAAAGCACAAGCAATCCGAAGATAATCCCGTACTAGACTAATAGTAGAATTTTGTAGAGTTTTATTCAACAGATTAAAATGTTTAAGTTTTCCATTTACACACTCCACAACCCATCTTATCTTAGTCACGAATCTTGATCAACTAGCGTCCGTCGTGTCAAATCTTCGTCTCCCATCTAAAAACTCTGACATAGAGACATCAAACCCTAAACTTTGCATCACTCCAACCGAATCCCGCAAACCTCTGTCAACCACCATAATATCTTTTTCATCTGCCCAGTGTAAAATATCTTCCTTCTTCTTCAAAAGTATATCTTTCGCAATAGCAGCATCGTTGTTTTTATTATCCGATAAGTACGGACCAAATACAGAAACAATATATCCTGTGGTTGTTACTATCACCATGGGCTTAAGAAGGGATCTATGTTTGTGTAAGCTGTATGAACGACGTTGGAACTCATTATTTTGTTATGATCTGCCATTCCTGGCAGCTCATAAGACTGTGTTTTCTTCTTCTTCTCCTTTCTTTCTATTATTGCGCAACTCTTGTTTCATTTTTTCGTTTCTTTCTGTTATTGCGCAATTCTAGCTTCATAATGGGATTTTCCTAAACTATTTCTGTTCTTATGTAACTCATGCGCAACTCTTGCATAACTGTTGTTCAACTTGTGTACTATATATAGCCGTTCACTTTCTTAAATAAAAAAGAGAAGTGAGTGAGTAGAACCTCACATATTTACTGTAGGCATTCTTCGAATTAGTAATTCAAATCAGTACAATTACTCTTCTATTTGTTTTGTTTTTATTTGCAAGCACTGATGGTCTTTATGACCCTGACAGTACAAAAAATTAAGGAAATGAATTAGTAAAAAAATAATACTGAGTAGTTCTCACATTTTAAATGGTGTTAAGACAAAAAGAAAGAAAGGATTTTACAATTAGTCACTCAGTATTGAATACAAAAAACTAGTTAGTTTAGACTACTTTACAGAGTTTGATGTTACATCCTTCTTTCGATAAAAAGAAAAATTACCCGTTCACATCCTAATTTTCTTTCCTTACAAAGCGCACCACCCACACAGAAAAAGTTCACTCATTCATTTTTATCACATTCCATTCTCAGAAGGTCTCAGAAAAAGTAGCAAGCAAAGATATCTCTTCCTCCTCATACCAAGGAACAGAATCCATGACGGAGTTGTCATTACACCAATTTAGACATGTTCCAAGCACTGAAAGGTTTTCTACATAGCGTCTGGACCTGCGCAGTCCATTGATTCTTAGCTCCCCATCCCTCCACATGCTTCTATAAGAATTAAAAGTGGCTTGTTCTAAGAGCAGAGTTCCGTCGACTGAATTCGATAAAGCACTTAGGTACTTGTCCCAATATGCAAAACAGCGATCTTCCAATGATTTCTCGTTCAGGCCAAAAGCGTAAAAAGGGTCTTGCCATT